AACATAGTTGGTGGTACTGTGTACTTTATAAGTACTTCTGATTATCAGTTCAAACTTTATTTTAGGTAATAACTTCCAAACCATTCGTATAGCAAAGGCTACAACAAACTTAAATATTCATACTAAACCCATTCTAGATTGAATTAAAAAGTTGATTATGTACTTATATGGTGATACAAAACAAAAAACAGATTCAAATGACTAAATAGAACAGATAACAAACATCTATTTCCCCCTACTTCTAAAAGTACAGTCGAAATGGCTAGTACGACTGATCTCAATTCACACTTTGCATTATTGTATAGAGGTCTACAGTGAAAATATAAACTTGCTGAAAGTGTAGTCAGGCGAATATAATATTCACTTTACGAAAATACTTGTTCAAATGAAAATTCCGTGCAAATATGTCACACATTATTGTTCCAGTTAAGATTGCATAGTAAAATCCCATTCTGTGAATCAAATTTTCTATGATAATTTAAATGCTTATTGTCATTGAGTGAGTTGGAAAAAGCATATACAGTGTACCTGGAACGTCTATTGGTTCACATAGTACCCGAGAATTCTGTTGTACTCACGATTCTTTACGCATCAATTCATAAGCTAAAGTTATCAAATATCCCCTAGTTAACGAAATTGTCGTCCAGTGCTTCCAGTTGTCAGTGGTGGTTTAGCTTAGATTGACTCATGAATTCAACTTTGAAAATACTACAATCTCCACAAACCCCCATTTTGATAATAATCATGTGCTTACTAGTGACTAGCTTCAGGATGAATTTCATGGAGTTCTAGTGAGAACTCGTTACCAGTGGAGTCCGATCCGCGTCGGGTGTGAGATAGTTATCCACCTCAGACAATGGATGAAGGGGTCGCGCAAGATCATGGATCTATTGAAGTTAGACATTAGCACAGTTGCATGCCGGCTCAGTGGTCTAGAGATTAAGCGTTGGCGCACAAAATCGAAGGTCCTGAGTTCGAGTCCTGCGTACAGGATCGTGGATGCGCGCTTCTGATTAGTCTTGTACTGGGACCAAACGACTGTTTAATGCTTTCAGATTTTCAATGGTGATCTAGCCTAGATTGACTCATGAATTCAACTTTGTAAAAAACTGTCTAAATTAAGTGTTTCAACCTAAATCGTACATATTGTTCAGAATGAGAATTTCATGTTTCGAATAGCTATTAATCAAACAATGTATCAGTATTTATTAAATTTATAAAACTATAATTTCACATCATAACGCTTAGTTTTCGTATGAGCAGTTGCACAGTCGAATTGCTTAAATATATTTAGTTCGTTTTAAAGCATTTCTGTTCGCATAAAATTTACTTACGGTCAGTTTAATAATACAAATATAGTTTCTATGTACATTGAATCATATACCGTGAATGCGTTTACAATAAGTGTGACAATATTTAAATTAAAAATTGTTTATTTGTTTAAATTCAGTGAAGAATTGAAGTCATCAAGACTAAAATTAATGATTTTTATCTGTGTATCGTGTAAAACTACTATTGTTCATGTACCCATTTATATTACCGGCAGTAGACAGTTGATTACTATTCATTCGAATTATCGTTTCTTTTTCTAAATACGAAACAACTTTATGAATCTGATAGAGAAATTGACCTTCTATGTAGCACCACATAAGTGAACCTGCTATATTTTGTCTCTTTCGACAATGAAGGTCACGATTCATTCATAACGATTAATCAGTATTTCGAGACCTTATAAGAATACTTTTCAACATGTTATTTACATACAGTTCTAGCAGTAACTGATTAAATTTCATCAAGAAAATTTTATCAGCTATCATACTAGTGAATTGCAACAGTGATCAACAAAAACTTATCCACAGTTAAACCATTAATATAGATGATTGAAGCTGAACTGCGTCAAATTACCTAACATTCAAAATTAACTACATAACTCTTGAGTCTCTGACATAAGTTTATCAAACTTTGTAAATGTATCTTACAGATAGGTGTCAACAAGAATGGAGAATTAGCTGCCAGTTTCCTAGAAACAATAAAGCATAAATATTATATGTACTTTAGCTAAATAACTTGACCATATACGATGAATGCTAACAAATTTCAATTGTATCTAAAGAATAGAATGTATAAAACTGACTATCTTCTTCTAGAAATATATTTCTTTTTACTGAATGATACTTACATAGTCTATTATCATCTACGAATTGTTGTAAACATATTACTTATCTCTGATATATTTTAACTTTTATTCCATAATCTTTTTCAAGAGACCAACTACAGCTGGATCAACTAGTTCAAGTAAACGTTCAGTTTCTCCTACTAGAAAATTCACTCCACCAAATAATTTACCTGGTTTATATCCAAATTTAATGCAGAAACATTTTGATTTATCTTATTTAATTAAACATACATATTCTTTAGAGAAAACTATAAATAGACAAGATATTCGTATATGTCCTCGTTATCCATGGCTACCTAAACTAAATCGTGAGGAAAGATTAGCTAAGTTAGCTGAAGCACGTGAACGATATGGATGGGATTATGGTTTGCCTAATGTACCATCGCACTTATTTGATAAGCATTTAATGAATCGGTTTCAAGAGATTGAAGTAAACAGTGGAGAACAGTAGGGAAACATGATGCCATTTTTCGCCAATGATTATCATGAAAAGCATACTTTATAATAACAATAATAATAAAATAAATTAATGATAATGATAATGATAATGAAATAAATTAGTATTTTCCTAGTAGACTTATTTTACTGAATTTATACTATTTGAATGAAGTAAGTAGAAGGTAATCGAATTAGTTAGATGCTTTCCTAGTTAAATATGAAGAGAAATATTTAGACATTAGAGAAAATCAACTGGGTTTACGGCTAAGTTGGTTAATAATAAATATACTTTAGTTGTAACAATTAAAAAAAATGGAACTTTTTAAGCTACAACCTTCTTGTTACTCATTAGATCGAAGTGAAACACTTTCACAGTCATCTATATCAATTATTACTAGAGAGATTTAAACAACTGAATGACAGAGAATGATATCTGAAATAAGTAAATAAACACGTCTTATTACGGAAATCATAATTTCTTGACTAGTAAGTAATCGGATAAGTGGAATCGATAGTGAAAATGATCGGATGTTCGTTGTACGTCATATTAATATAAACTAATAGAATAACTGACACAACGGGGTGCACTTAATAAGATACACATTCACAGGTTTGTTTAGAATGAACCCTGGTAGTTGCCAATGGATTATTTAGTAAACAGAAATAACCAAACATACACATGAATTGATTGTATTGAGTATGAATAAAATGGATAAACATGTATGGAGAATGTATCAACAAGCACATCACATCACAGACAGGTGCAAAAAATACCTAGAAAAGTGAATCATAACAACTAGATCAATGAATATAGATTTAAGCAACAAATGATAAGAGCTTGTCTACATCCTGTTTCAAATAGTGGCTATCCTTAACTTGTCGAATAAATGAACACAGTAAAGATTAAGAGATAGATTACTCATGATTTGATAAGATCTATTGAAAACATCATTCATTCTAGTCTACTATTACTTACTAAAAATATAAATGATCAATAAATAGTCTTTTTGAAGTTGCACATACGATAGATACACCGATCTCCTAACCTTAAACACTTTTGTTAAGAGCAATTTATTATTCTACATATCCATATTGCTGAGATTTCATGTTCACTACAATTATATTAATATCAGGTGGCTGGTGAGAATGATGCGCAGTTACCATTTTACAATAAAACTCACAGAAGCAATGTAACTATTAACAAAGTTAAGATTCTGCTAGTAATACTACAGTAGAGACGATAGTTTCTTCTTTCTAGTTAATAAGTATAACATTTCAAAAAGTTTTATTTGATGCATTCTGCTTCAAAATCATTCCCAGTTGTCAATCCAATGGATTTTTTGAGGCAATGAGGTTGAAATGAATTCAATATCCATATAACTGAGATTTCTAAACTGGAGACATTTTTCTAGTCAGTTTTAAATGACCAATACTTTTATTAGCTTACAAAATACTTATGTAAGAATTAGAAGACAGTTGAATTCATCTCCATCCCTCACCTCATCACTTCCCATTACACTGAACTATAAAGAATGATTATTAATTTAGTGAAAGCCTAATTCTTTCCATAAATTTCGAACGAATCTAAAATTGTGATACACAAATGATTAGATGAGAATTTACTTGCTTGATGGGTAATAAAAGCGAAACAAATTGATGAATACAATATTGTTGATCCGTTACATCAGTTACTATAAATAAAAATTTAGAGTAGGTATAAATTTCCGCTTCATTTAACGATATCATGTAAGATATAAAACTACTTTAGTGAATTCTACATTTTAATTTACATCAGAAACAGTAGTGTTAAAACACTAATTACTATCAATCATTGTATCTTAACAATTGAACAATCCATGGCTCTATCATTTTTGATCAAGGTAGCTTGATAGCATTGTACTAAACAAGAACACGAGTAAGGACAATCGAATGTCTACGACACGAAATTACAGAGCATTTCACTAAAATCTGAGAACCACATATAGTAACTAGTTAATTTGCAAAATATCAATCCACCGTCTCAAACTTAACTGTTCCTTTTGCAAATATCAGTTAATTGTCTCAGATTTCATTGTTCATGCCTTTTCATACTAACTGCGTTCCGTTCCCGTTCTTTCCGTATCGATCTTCTTTTGAAATACATTCTATGCCTGACCACCGTGATATACTACTTATATGGATATAAGTAACCCACACCAAAGTATCAATTAATCTACATAATATCGAGAAAATTAGAAACAAAGCTTAGCATATTATCCAGTTGTACCCAACTATTAGGTTACACAATATTGAATAGATTTAAATGCTATACACCTCATCATGATAATAAAATGTTCCATATAACAGGGTCAATTTTTTTTCACTTTTCGTTTAAATAACAAAGAAATCCACAATAATCTGAAGACTTTTATTTTGAATTTGAGAAAAACAGAAGCGGATGAGATATAAGTAAATGTTCATATACATAATATATGAGCTGTAATACTACTATTACTATTAGTATTAGTAGTAGCAGTATTAGTAACATTTAATGCATTTTATAAGGCACCAGCTGTTATATGAGAAATTTTCATTGGATAATAATTTGTTCTGTCAAATTGTTGTACAAAAGATTTCAATCGACTTACATGAAATGAACAATGTTTCGGTGTAATATTACATTCATTTGATAAATTATATAGATTAGATGAATAATTGTTTGTAGATGAACGGTTACTGCCACTGGTGCTCAACACCGACTGACCATTAGATGTTTGTATAATGAACCAATAAAAGAAGATATCTTCACATGTATCTAAATCATCTATAAATGCTTTGATAGAACTTGCTAAGAGATCTGTATACAAATGTAAATAATGCTGCGTGTCCGGATAAGATGGAAAGGGAAAACAAGCATATTGTTAGTTTATCGATAATAATTAAAATTATTGGTTTACACAGCTATAAATTACACATAAAATGACAAATACCAAAAGCTTATAACTAAAAAATAGACAATATCGTAGTTCAATGCCTTATATTCATTTATTTAAACACATAAACATTGGTAAAATGAGGTACCAAATATGTATGCGCCACACAAATCATTCGAACTGTATAAGGGTTGAAATACTGCCTGGGCACCTAAACCGAAGCAGATGGTTTTCTTAGAGGGCCACTCCCCAAGCATTTGACCTAGAGGTTTAATCCACAGGGCAGTGGAGCAACTTCAAGAGGTACAGTTCAATGGTAACCGGTAACCAACAATTGGTTCATACGTCATTTGTTCCCTCGGGATCATGGAGCCCATGTGCACCATTGGCTTGAAATCAGTTTAAGTGCCGGACATTCGCTTTCCTTCACTTCCGTAAACAACAATCCGCCGCGAGAAGGCAGTAAGTAGGACTTCTCTGGAAGTGGTTGTATACGCGCGGCCATGTGAGAGCATTTCGAGGGGGAAAGCTGACTCTCCCCACTCTTGACCGTACCAGGGAATTAACGTCAAACGCTTTACTGAAAAGGGAGGTAAACAGTAGTAGCATGCTGAGAAACAAATTAATTCCGGTGTCACGATGCTTGAACGCGAATCTAAACTAGCGAACTCGTGATCGTTAGAGCGGACTGTTATTACAAAGGTGGTCACTGCACAAGTTATTGGCTTTTATATCCATTTCAAAACAATGATAATCGATATCTTTTTTTAAAATGATCAATATTATTGGGTGACAGATATGAAAAGTGAAAATGGAAATGGTGTGTAAAATTCTTCAATGTCGCGGCACATGGGAAAATAAGCTTAAACCACAGACGTTTTAATGTTACTCACAACTATGAATTAGACTTAATAGGAGATTTATACATAATATTTAGTGTTGTGAAGGGGTACTGAAAGTGGAATTATAACGCTGGCTGTGAGACAATATGACCTAGGGATACTAAATTATACAATCATTGGATAATTAGACTGCTTGATTAGGTCACGAACAAAATATAGAGCATAGTACAGGGAAGATTAAATTTTATTTAACGCAATTACAAGTAGCCTACAAATTGTGAAGACCACAACAGAAATCGATTATGGGAACTAATTCACTTATTAAATACTTAGTAAGCTGAGCGCATCAAGTAACAAAGACAGAAGTTAATCATGTTGAATACCTACATTAGAAATGTGGGTAAAAATAAGATATCTAAAGTAAATTACAATGTTACTACATTTGAATGATATAAGGTTAAAATAGAATCATGAAAGTAGTGACTGAAAATAATGAAACAATATTAACAGCATATGCAATAAACTCATCATGAAAAAATGTCTTGGTCTAGTATGTTATCGCTAATCTTACTGAGTTTCTTCTGAATCGTCTTTAGGACTTCAGATTAGTCAACAAATTAACAGGCTACTGATTACATTTACATTTGGAAGTCAGTAAAAATATTGAAATCATGTTCATGAGTCCTTGCTGACATATATTTATTATATTGCTGTATAACAGCTTGTAGTGGAATTCGAAACATGTGTTTCGTTCATCCTAGAACTCATTATCTCTGTGGTTGTCCCCCAGTGTTTACAGTGAGTCTCGAATTCCACGCGAAAATCAACGCTGCAAACACTAAGTCACAGTATGCACCATTCGTTAAATTTGTATGACATTTATTATTATTTATAATGATTAATGTTCTCTCGTGGATAAGGTATTGACTTTTGAAACGATAGGTACTCGATCCGAGTTTCAACGTTAACATTGGGAGACAGGTACATATATCTATCTAACGCCAAATGAAGCGAACCGTATTTCTTCAATTTATCTTCTACAAACTGTTCAAAAAGTAACAAGCTTACAACTGCAGACGATATAGATCGATTCAGTCAAGGAGCCTATATATCAACAGAGACATCGAATTCAGTTCTGAATATCAAAAACAGGAAAACGAAAAATCATCACCAACAACATTAAGAAATTAATACATGTACATCATCAGTATGATGATGTACATGGCATGAATTTTTAAGACTGTTTCTACATCCTGATCCGATTTCGCAAACGTAGTATCAATAATACGAACATTTATCAGAACATAAGTATTATGACACATGAAAACTGATGTAGTGTTTTATTATGAATAGACTAATATTTAGACGATAAACGTCTTGAAGAGTGATACCTGGTACACTGAGGTCAGTGAGATAGTAATACTGTTATAAATTCAATAGCCTATGGTTGCGTCGGATACGAAAAATGATGTCGTTGTAAACTAAAGTGTATTATAGTAAACACAATGACACATATTTATAAGAACTTTCGTTTGAATTTGAACGAACAGTTCCACAGTATTCGAGAGCTAAGTTAATGTAAGACATTAGGGCGAAAGAATATATTTGTAAAACCTCAGAGATCAAATTTAAAGTAAATCCAACATTTCACTCGGTAATCTAGTCTAAGCTTTTCCAAGGAAATATAATCAAACATCAACACTACCGAATATAAACAGTTAACCGTATACCAAAAGGGTCATCCAATTATGTTAACAATTTTTAAAGTAAGTGTTCGCTTTAGTGTGTATCAGACATGTGGTGTGGAACGAAAAGTGTGTTAAGATAACAGATTGTATGTATACGTAAGTGGATCTGAGATGTGAGAAGAAATTTCATTGATTATTTATCTCCTCTGATCGGTGAATCTTTAAAAGAAAACATACAATTTTTATGTATGATATAAATTAAATATATCACATCATGAATAAAATGAAGCAGTCAATAAATGTTTGTGTTATTTTTTGCTGTTCCAGTTAACTGTTCAACATACTTCAAATTCAATCGCTAAGATTTTACAAATATATTCTTCCTACTTAATTACATATATTATTAACATTACTGTAATTCTTTAAAATCACTTACTTTATGGAAAAACACTGATGAAAAACTAGCAGAAAAGGATTGATTATTATCAAATAAATTCCAGATGGATTGATCGGATAAGCTTATTAATCGTTCAGGATTTTGGCACCATAACTACAAAGTAATAATAATTATCACAATAATACTTATATGATCAGTACTGAACATTTTTATTAAAGAGTAAAGTTTCTTTCTTTAAAAAAAGTATCTAGATGAGATTAACCAGTCAGTCAGTCAGTTACAACTTAGGACCAGGCACATACATGAAACGGTTCAAGTGGCCACACCTCAAAGCACAGCAAGATGAACACCGGATTCATGAAAGTAGTTAATTCAGAGGTGGTAATATATAAAAGAAAGATTGCATATAAGGATATAGTACAGGAAGAAAGAATTAGTTCGTAGAAAGAAAGATATGAAGTGATTTTAATCTCTTAGTTTAAGGGAAGACAGGGAGTGTATACACCGACGCCATTGTGATCGGTTCTGAGCCATGTCACCAAGAGTCTCCAACCATTGGTTACGATAGTCACGCGGACCCCAACCAAGTAGTCTGCATCTACCGACATGGCTCAGACTAAAAGTTAGTGACTTCAAGCACTGATGCCACGTTTTAGTTTGGCCGCCCCTAACTTTCTTCCAACCATCTCCAACATCGGTTAGCATTGCACGTCGTGGTAATCGGTGTTTGAGCATAAGTAACACGTGGCCCAACCATGTCAGTCGATGAAGATTCACAAATTCATCAACTGATTCACCATCATTCCTTAATACCCTGCGTCTAACCTCACTATTACTTACCCGGTGATCCCAGCAGACGCCAGCAATATTTCTAAGGCATCTGTGGTCAAATACTAGTAGCTTACGAGTGTCTTCTACTCTTAATGGCCATGTTTCGCTGCCGTAAATTAAAACAGGACGGACTGCCGCGCAGTATAGTCGTCCTTTTATTGATAGACGGATATCTCGCCTTCGCCATAGGTGACGTGAGTTGGCAAAAGCCAAGCGAGATTTTCGAACCCGTGCTGAGATTTCGTCAGAGACCAACCCATTAGGGTTGACCAGACTTCCAGGATAAGTGAAGTTGTCAACGTATTCGACTACTTCACTCCGTATCCTTAGTTCAAGTGTTGACACAGGCCAGTCCTGAAGCAACAACTTGCATTTAGAGGGAGAGAAGCGCATTCCAAACATTTTGGCATTGTTGCTTAGTGCTACCAAAAGACTGCATTTTATCAGCGTCTTCACCAAACAGGACTATATCATCTGCGTATGAGACTAACCTTAAATGGATGGTTAAAACTTTGATTTATAAAAATCTCAGTTGTAAAAATCAGTCTTTCGTAATAAGAGAAGAGCCTAGGAGCGAATGTTCTTTGACTTTATATGACAAGATGACAATAACAAGATGAATATAATTGGAATGATTTAAAGATTCAATTTTTAAACAAATGTTGATTTTTAGATCCATGTTACGAATTTCTTAGTGAGAAATTAGCATATAAGTAGAGTTATTAAAATCAGAAATCGGATTGATTTGCATTGAATGATAGACTAGCTATTATGAACTGAATAAATTTTGACACAATAACTGAATGATAAACTTGTTAATAGAAAGATTTGAATGTTTTAAGCTCGGTTTAAATCGAGGTCATGGCTGTTGGTTAATGAGTTCGAAAGTACAGTATAAAGGCTGTTTAATGATCCCTTATTTTTGATAGTTTCTACACAATGTCAGTATATTATGAACACTATACTGAAAGTTTCCTTTTTTTAATATTACCAAAGTATTCGTACCTACAGAAGTTCACGGTATATTACTTTTGAAATATGCTTTTATCGTTCTTTTTTGTCAAAAATTCCATTTAGTTGTATTTGAGTCTTCAGTATTCCATAAATTGCTTTATAAATATCTTGATAAAAGACTTCTTATTAACATCGATTTAGGATTAAATCATTTTTGCTTTTTTTTTACCTGTGTTTTCTAATCACTGTTACAATCGTCATAATCAGAGTTGAATTTGACACAAATGCTCCAATAGTAAGTTTCCGTAACGCATTAACGCAGTTAGATGGAATTAACAAGGGGAGTACAAAAAGAGTCAAGATAATAAAGTAGAAAGTTTAAAAATTAAAGAATATGGTTCAAAGAGAAGGAAGAAAAAGGATTGTATAGAAAAATATTGGAACATTGCTCCAAATAATCTATTTCAAGATTGATGAGTGAATATTTTTAAATAAGCCAATTACCTCAAATGCACGTTCGATTAACTCAACCGACGGTAAGCATGTATCTTCTTCAATAGAAAAAACAGCTTCAGTTATTATTTGTCGATAAGGAAAAAATCGACCATTCACTGAACCATAAGCTGAACGAACTACATTTAAAGGAACTATTAAAGATGGCCATAATGTAGCTGAAATTGCAACAAGAAAAAAAACCCCAATAAGTTTGGAACATAAGCAATACAATTCAAAGAAATTCAATTTTATCCGGATTCAGATATATATTTTACAGGTTGTCTGTACGGAAATAACTTCCCATTTTTAATCGAGATTACTAGATGCTACATACTACTTTTCCTTTTTATAGTCTCGGTTAATCCATATAAAAAATATCGCTGCAACTCATTGAAAGAGATCAACGAAAACTTATTACAACAAACAATGCTGGTCTATCCCAACTAAAGGAGCACGAATTATTAGGAGTTGGATCACGTTACACATTATACTTCATGGAAATTCTGATGTCTAGAATGGATATATATACGTCGGTAGATTACAAAAACTGTTCTTTCTGTGACATCCAATTTTCTTATGCGATCCTCGATCAAATTATTAGATAGAGTGGAATAATACAAAGACGCTTCATTTTTATTAGATCACTGACCTTCAAATTTACCCGATGACATGTTTCAAACAATTATAAATAGCCCTGAGTAGTGACCGCAATTGTTCATATTCCTATTGGTCCGGAACGCAGCTTCGCTATATCTGCCAGAATTCGAAACACAATAAGCAAACAATACCCCTACTATTATACATTGAACACTTAGAGGACTATGTACATTTATTACCTGACCACAACACACAATAAATAAGAAGTCTTAGTTTATACACAACTAAGTCATGAGTAAAAAAGAATGGAGTAAAAGAGGGTTATTTAATTAGCGATAATTTAGGAATAGTTAAACGTATATAGATAATATAGTGAACGGAAGCTTATAAACAGGACAACTTAAAAATACGATAAATGAATTAATTACTAATTGTATAGTAAAAATGGAGATAATAACTCATCATACAATAATTTTAAAAGTTCCAACATCCCCCCACCTCAATGTTCACTTAGTTCTAACAGTTCTGAATCCAGTAAGGGGACATCCTGAAGATCGATGTGTCACACTCATTTACAAATGTTGTTCCGTTAAATATTTTAGAATGAGCATAAAATATAGGTAGTACTACAGTTGTCAAAACACTAAACGGAGAATATATGTAATTAATCAAAACTTACAATCAGGAACTGGATATATTTTATTTGTCCATACAACAACAATCCGTCTCAAGAATTTTACAGACTGAATCGATTTTAGCAAAATACAAAGTAGTGTGAAATGATTATGAGCTCGAATGAGAGCAGTAAATCCAGTACGTGTAAAAGCTTTAGCAGGGTAAAATAATACTGGAGATATAGGTAGTCCAACCTGAAATGGGAAGATTGGGAAAAACATTTGATATATAAGAATACATAACGTTCACAATTAAAATAACCTACAAACTATGCAGTCTCTACAGAATCCCTTAAACAAATAATTGTGTACCTACAAGAAGCCGAATTCGACACGGATTTCCTGAGATTTTCATAAGAGGTTGTGAACCATCGACTCAACGAAGATAAAAGTTAGATAGCAGCTCAAAGATGATATAGAATGACAATAACTAAATCTTAAGTCGATCGACGTTGGAAAATGCTGAACACTCGATTTTAGTGGTGAAACGAGTTATGATTATGGTAACACCTGAAAGTTACGGATTCGATCCCGTGTAAGGTGGTGAATACTAACAGTTAAGCAACGTGGAAAGAGACAGTTATTTAACGCCTTTTGGTTTGTAACGGTCTATCCACCATTAGCTCGCAATTAAAGATTAAAATTGAATAAGTCAGTAATTAAGTACACGTTCATGTGTTCAGCAACTTTGAATTGCACTATTTCGGGTAAGCACAAATGGAACTACCTAATTAGTCAAACTTAACCAGATGGAGCGGGGTTCGAGCTCAGTAATTGAGAATCAAGTGACATTTAACTATCAATGTAATGTACTGTTTGGGAACCAGTATTTTAATTTGCCGAGAACATAGTATATTTACTAGTAATGGAGGCTAGTTAGAGACAATTTTTCCCTTTAAAATAACAACAGATGAAAACTCACTAACATTTGTTCATTATAAGCATATGTAAAGCGCTATCGAACTAGAACGAAACATGTTGCAATATGGTGCTAGATGAAAACAATAGCAAATCTTAGAACACAGAAATGGTAAGTCTACTGTTTAATACTGTCTAATTACATACCAATTTTGAAGAGAGTAGTTATACTTATAATTGGCCTTAAGACCAATTGGTCTTGGTGACTTACTGACGAACGAACATGTTAATAAGAATTATTAAACATATAATCACACATTTTGGTCATTAGGATAAACTGCCAAGTCACCTATAAAGGTATGTTTACCAAATTTTTTAAAACTGGGATTATATTGTGCGAAAATGAAATCTTAACAGCAAAGAACATCCAGTTCAGAGAATTTTGCACTAACAAGATCCTCTAATCCAAAAACTTGCTTGCTCGTAGATAATGTTTAATCATAAACTACAACATTCTGTAACTAGCCAGTAAAACACAGTGTCAAAGTAAACTGAAGCTGCACGAATACTACACATATCTGAACAACATTGTTGATATAGGTCAATAATTTTTGCAACAAATAAATTACGTATAGTCCTCGAAATTTTAATATTAATTCCTATTTACTGAATTAATACACCAAGTGGTACAGAATGTCATAAAGAAACTATTGATGATTGTTAATGTAAAGATGTCTAACATTACTTTAACCAGATCTGATATGTAATAATAAATGCAACAAATTGAAATCAAATAAGAAAAAAATATTTAATGACATAGTTGAACGGAAATTATGATAACTGAGAATATTTATAGCTTAGAATATGAGTAATGACAATTGTCTGATACTTTTAGTGTATTGTACTACTCTGCCCCCAAATGTCCTGGTACGGCCGAGAGTGGAGAGATTCCGCTCTCCCCCTCGAAATGCTCTCACATGGCCACGCGTATACAGCCTCTGTCAGGGAAGTCCTACTCACTGCCTTTTCATGGCGGGGGTGTTGTTTAAGAAAATAAGAGGATGAAAAACGAATGTTCGGAACTTTAACCGGATTCCAAACCAATGGTGCACATGGGCTCCAGTATCCTGCGGGAACAAATGGTATATGAACCAGTTGTTGGTCACCGGCTTCCATGATACTGCATCTCCTTACGATGCCCCACTGCCCTGTGGATCAGACCTTTAGGTCGAAGACTCCGGGTGTGGCCCCTAGGAAAACCACCTGCTTCGGTTTGGGCACCCGGGCAGTATCACAGCCCTCACAAATATCAAATGAGATTTGTGTGGCGCATATGTATTTGGTGCCTCCTTGTAAAAATATCTGCGTTAAAATAAATAAATTGTACTACTCTGATAAATGGTGATATCGTTGAAGGGAAACTGTTTTTCTTTTGATGAACTGACTTTATTTTACCTAATGATATAAAATGTTTCTTTTGTTACTTTAAAATTGGCAAAGAAAACTAGTAAACTAGGGAAAAAATTTAGTGTTAATATTAAAATAAATAAATAATCACCTTAGAATAATTAGGATAATTCCATTCAGCATAAGACCGTGAATATTGAGGAAATACACGATCATTTAATATATCCAAAGTGGTCAATATAATTTTCTCTATTGATGAAAAATAACGTTGATAAATAAACATTATCTGTTTTCGAAGGAGAGATTTTTCTTTTGATGAATATGTTGATAAGATGGATGGAATCTTTTGAAATTTAACTTGTGGAATATGAATAGCAATTCTAATTTATTTATGGTAGAGAAATAAAGATTTTAAAAGACTATTTCAAGTATAACAATTATGCATCTTTTTAAAAAAAAACTGAATTTATCCTAAAACATTTAGAATGATAGTTTCAACCAATTGAAATGAACACAAATGAAATGTTCTGCTCAGGTTTATATTCCAATAATAATGGGGAAGATTTGTGGTTGAAGATTTTAGTTAAGTTCCATTCCAACTAATTAGTGTTCATGTAAATGAAGAGAAGTAGGATGGTTATTTTGACTGATGTAATGATTTTACAGCTAAAACAGTTTATCAAGTAGATGATATTTGGCACATTATATTTTGTCAATGGGTTATTCAGTTTACACAACATTCATTCAAGTGCTTTTGTTGGTTTGTACGTTACATTCACTTGCAATCGTCTAGATAATTTGATGGGATTCTCTATTAATTCATTTATACATGATAAAATAGTTGATTTTTCGGCTTCCTTAATAGCTTTCTTGCTTAGTTGTGAAATTGATAAGCACTTTTTAAAAATGAATTTGCGTGGGTAAAGGTTTTTCTGAATAAAGGAATAGAACTATTTTATTAGTAGTGAAATTTCTTCACCCCTCCCTATAGCACCAATGTCAACTATCGTCCAATGACATTAAAAATGAACTTACTGTTGACTAGTGCTTGAACAGAAATAAAAATGACAGTAATTTGTGGGAATATTTACCAGTTTACTTTATTTTGAGCAACATTAATCTAATCAGTATGAGTCAATTTGTTTCGAACATGGTCACCTACACTGAAAATGTGTTTCAAACTGTCTTGTTACTAGTAGCGTTTTCATCGCCTGAGACTTTGAAATATCACTGTCAGAAGATTTCAAAGAGCACCTGCCTGGCAATTAGAGGTTTTTAATCCTTATTCCCATAGGAATTTGAACTTCTATATAACATTTATGTTGACAAAATGATTGTAGAGTTGCAACGAGTAACCGGAATCCTATTTAAAAGAGGAGGTAAGGCAATAGCTGCTTCAATAACAGAAGTTTATACGAATTTGCATCACTTTAATCTTCATGTAGAGCGAATCCAATTAGTAGCATCATTAAGAGCGTATATTACTGAATGGATTGTCTTCAATTTGAAACTAAATAGTTGAAAATGAGACTAGAGACTATATTGGTGTTGTTTTGTTTGATATTTAAGAAAAAGGTGGACAGATAAAGAGAAATTTTTAAACTAAACTAATATACTTAACAGATTTTGAAATTTTTTATCAATGATTGAATGCCTCATTTCACAGATACGTATGAGATCAGTTAATACTGAAATAATAAAAATGACCAAATGAATTACGGTTATCTGTTTAACTTCTCGAAAACACACTAATACAAATTTCGTAAAATCGATACTTAACAAATTGTCAAGTACCCTAATTCTTTGCATAGAGACAATGAAACTTATAATATTTCATAGAATAATGTATTCAATCAAAAAGACTGATTCTATTCTACAAATTAAATGTATCATATTTTGGTTTAATTTTTTACAAGTATCAGAATTAAACTTAGATAACACATTTAAGATAATAATCGTTGAACTTTTCTCTAAATTATTCACTCTTATTTAAGTCTATATGCATTGTGATATTTCATAGCAACTCAAATTAATTTGTTGACCCCAACAAAATAGAAAACCTAAATAAAAAAAAGACTAAATATCAAAGAAACATTATTTTCCTAATTTCATTCATTCTGTTATGTCCCGATAAGCATAATAAATGGTAACTTTTGGGTTCCATTTATGGACCAATACTATACGTATACTTTTATCGTATAATTGTTATGTAACTAATCTGTTCATATTTATGTCCCTCTTATTATGAGCTTTATTTCGTCCTATGAACTATGATTCTACAATTTACCATTCTTGAATTATTCCCTGTCTATTCATTACTACCTACAAAACTCGCAGCCACTTTTGGCTATGTCTTGTACAAATGTTGCTTTATATTTTATGGTACGATGTGGTCTGTCAGGTTGGTATATAAACTCAGTATGCTTGAAATAAATGATTCATATTGCAGAGGCTGAGATTGGTGTTCTGGACTTAACTGGCTGGGCTAGGCAGGAAGCAGGACCAATAAGGACTCTAGACTGCTCGTACGGGTTTTATGCGTCCGATAGATAATTCACTGCCCTCTAATTGACGGTATCTTTGCATTATACATTAACAGGGCATACAGGCCAACAGTTATAACACATCCACTCATAAAGCGTTACAAAAAGTATAGTGATTTGAAATCTAATATTAAGAAAACTAACTAATGTAGAATTCAAAAATTTCAGTGTTACATTGATGAGATAAATTATGTCGATTGAAAAATCTTATAGACCTAGTTAGATAAAACCATGCAAGTAATAGATAATGGCATTCATAACTTAATTTAGATGAACATAGTCTGTTCCAATATCAGAGCATAAAAACTTAGATATGGAATAGTAGTTCCAGCTAGAGTATTCAGAGATACCTAATAAGATAATAAATTACTGTTAAGTTGTCTCTCGGCTTACATATACAAAGCATGGTACTCCAGAAGGAGGTGAGTAAATAGGACTTCTACTTATTTGATAGCCCCACAATATATTATTAGTTTGTGTCAAAGTTTAGTTTGATAGAGACAAAGAGTGGTGAATCTCTCAAAAAGAAATCATACAAATTTTTTGTATTCACAATAAGCGTAATATCAGAAGGGGTTTTGTGGAGATTTTAGAAATTTCACTGATTGAAATCATGAGTCAATTGAAGCTAGGCCACCACGGAAAACCTAGAAGCACTGGACGGACGTTTCGTCCTAGTATGGGACTCCTCAGTAGTGCGCATCCACGATCCCGCACCCCGCGAGATAAGCGTAATAACCAGGCATTTATTGACGAGAAGTTAGAGGTTAGAACATAGTTACAAGAGTAACCTGATAATCCATTAATAAGGTATTCAACTTGAGCATAAGGAACATTCATTATCTATTGATAAATAACACCATTTAACTCCCAACTAATAATTAACAATAATATATTTAAAACATTAAAAATTTGAAGTGCCCTTCGGCACATGATTCAGGTTTCAAGTTAGGAATTAAGTTTTAAAAATTAATCAACTTACTTATACCAGTCAAGAACTTCTGAGAAAGGTAAAACAATATCATCATTGACAATCACCGGAATACAACCACAAGCTAGACTATCATACAAATTAAAACGATTTAAATTGTCCGCATCAATGATCAAACAAAATTCACTAGAACACAATGATTCCGAATAGTTTATCCATTTTTCCACACCTTGACGATATGGTGATTCAGATACTAGCACAAAACGTTGATTATAGGTTGTATTAGATTGGTTTGATGAAGAGTCTAGAACAAGTATGGGGCGCACTAAATTTGAATTTGACGTGCGAGAATCTAATAGGAGGTATTGCACTTGGTAGATCAAATTTTGATCAGTTGATTGGAAAACAATTAAAAAAATAGTACGTCTGACCGGGGTTTTTAATAAGAAAAATAAGAGATAATGGAAAGCAATTATTACAGCTGATGTATTCAGAGATACTTAAAAATTAACGAACGACAATTTAATTTTAAACTTAATGTTAAATCAACAATCCTCTAAATAAGTAATCTGTTGCCGTTATAAGGGATACGTAATTTCTCTTGAGATGACCAAAATAATCAGTTATGTAGCTTGTTATTGAAAAATGAAAACACTTCATATTTTATTTACCGACACAATTTAACTTTTAACAGCCAGATAACACTGACTGATACTTTAGAATCAGTGAAAAATAAACATCTCGATATTTTTCCAAGTTAAACGACGTGTGTTGTGTCAAGGGAGTAGATGAGGTAAACTAGTTCAACTACAAACTTTTGAATAACAAACGCAAGAGAATAAACTTTTCGTCCCAGTTCCTAACTGTAGCCGATCACCTTCATAGAGCTTTGTTTAGCAAAAATAATTAATCACAAATGTTGACAGTTTATTATGGCTCGAATCTAGCTACACAAATCAAAGTATCAACGTATTGGTGAGTACGAGAGTTGACACAATGAGTGAACTGAATTTAAATGAACTTAAGCTTGTACTAAGCTCCTACGACTCTTGATCTATCCCCCTAACTACTCAAAACACAAAAAGAAGATTTGTTCCCCTCCCCGACCGACGATGATAAGCAGAAAATTCATGAGTATTTATGTATTTTTTGGTGTATTATTGAGAACTAGTTATTCAGGATGTGAACTTTATGGTACTTAATTTAAAAGTACGCGCGTGGTCTAGCAAAGAACTCTTCCTTAGTTGATTTTGGTAGTTTTTGGAGACATAGCATTGTTCAACATAGTCAAACAAAACATCAAAGTTGTTACATGAAGAACAGTTATTCGTCAAATATGCGGTTTACCTTAACTTATTAGAATTACCATCCGATAAAATTATAAGCTGAATAAGATGATGCACAGGTAGGTGTTATCGGTTTTCAACCACACTTTCTGTGTAAAAGCTAACAATACTATCCAGTTGCCGAAGAAACATAATTCAAAACTGTAACCCAGTGACTGAAGGCTAAGTGTATTAACCGCTAAGTTACCGCTTATTAGCATATAAAATAAAACACAATATGGGATACATTCGCTTAAAACGAGTTATTCTAAGTACTAAGTTGACTAATGTATAAGTGTGAACACAATACATAAAAAGTAAATATTTCTAACAAATTCAGAGGTGAATTCACATAACTCAGAGAAGTTCATGAGAAATACTATGAAGAATAAAATAACAAATACATTGAAGAGCTTTAGGTAGTGTTGAGTTCTCAAAGCCAGATGGCTTAATTGCTGAGCTTTCATTGTCCTGCTGGACAACCTCTTCAGCGCCTACTTCGTGTACAACTTTAACAGCAAATTTAATAGTTAGTAAACAACGTAACTGTAAGCATAAAGAATCTCACTTTATAGAATAACTGGTTAGTAGTGATATACATTGGCAAAAAATATTAGAGAATCTAAAGTGATTTTTCAGAGGAACACGATTTAGCTCGACGATTCTAACACGAAACAATGAAGCACTTAGGAATAAACAGAGAGTGCAGGTATTTTATTCTGTTTCGCAAGTCGTTAACTGCAAAACATCACTAATATCTAATGGGACTGAATTATATTAGCAAGATCTTAATGTAAGTGAATAGATGTGTGGGTTTCTGAGAAATGTCGAATCATAACAACACAGTCAAACGGAGCAATTTTTCAATTTCTTAATTATGATTAAACAATCGACATACATTGAATTCTATGAAAACAACAGTGAAATATTAGAACTACATTGAAATCACGAGCCGATCAATGTTAGACCACCCTTGAAAACCTGGAAGCACTGGATAACCGTTTCATCCTAGTATGGAACTTTCCAGTAGTGAGCATCCATGAGTCCGCGATCTTCGGTCTCGCGTACGAACACTTAACTTCTAGACCAGTGAGTCACCATCCAACGGTGCTAATGTTTATTGAATCCACGATATTGATCTACCATCTTTAAATGTCTTCGGTGGATAACTGCCTCACACTTGACGCAGTTGAGGAGCCGTGAACAGTGATCAAGAGATTAAACGTCCACGTGTGAGTTCGAGGATCATAGGTTCGATTCGCGAATGTGAGGTTGTGGATAAACACTGCTTAGAAGTTCCATGTTAGGATGAAACAGTCGTCCAGTGATTCCGGAAATACAAATGGTGGTCTAAAATCGACTGGTTCGTGATTTTTATAGAATTCAACAATCTCCGCAACACTATGTTGATAATTCACACTACACTTTAGATCTTTGAAGAAAAAAACACTACATATTCAGGCCACATAAAGAAAAAATTCATTCATTCCATATTATTATTACCTCTCATGAATACGTTGATTCACTACAACAGTTAATGGATTAAATGCCGGTAGAACTATATCAAATTTCGATCTGAACGTTAAACTTGTATGACTAGCACTGGCAACAACAGCTGAAGCTGTATATTTTAATTTTTCATTTGAAAGAAAATTAATAATTAAATGATTTTTCCCTTCGTTCCAGCTTGAGTAAATGAAACAAACAAAATAAAGACACAAAAATGATTATGATAATTTCTATGAATATTTGTTAACATTTCAACGAAAATTCTGACAAAAATGCAGTGCTAATAATATGGAAGGCGTTATATTTGATAGAGTTTCAATGATTGCAGTGTTTCATTCAGAGCTTCTTTAGAGAAATAAACAAAATCCACTTTGTTATGATCCAAATCTATTTATTTAAATCAAAATATTTAACGCAATAGTAAAACGAGCGAGTTGATACAATGACTAAACTCAATGCACATACACTTTGATTACTTTACTCAAAAAGCTCAAACCAGCAGTTGACATGTTAAACACTGAAACTATATGAATTTCAATCTCTATAATTATCTCAAATATTTTTTTACATATAATGATAATTTCAATAGTTGAAATCATGAGTCAATTGAAGCTAGACCACTATGGAAAACCTGGAAGCACTGGACGGCCGTTTTCCATGGTGGTCCAGCTTCAATTGACTCATGATTTCAACTATTGAAATGATTAAAATCTCCACAAAACCCCTTCTGATATAATGATAAACCGAAAAGAAAAAGACAAACCTTGGCAAATGATGTAAATAACGCATAGATAAATCGATCATTTGATTATCATCTGGATAAGCATATAATAAATCTAATCCTGGGATAATAATACATGCTTCTTCAATTTGATTAACATAATATTTACTAGATATAATGGTATTATATAAGGAAATAAATTGTTGACTAAAACTTGTAAACATTAAACTATCATTTAAAGGATAAATATAAATTCTAATATTATGTAATGATTTGTCAATAATTTCACGAACACAATTACTAATATTGAAACATGTAGAATATGTACAATGTTTATTCATATACAAAGGTAATTGATAATATGATTGTTGAAATTTTCTTGTATATTCTTCATTTGAAATAATCGTCATATCATACAATGAATTAAAATTGTTATTATAATAATAATAATAAACTATCATTGAGAAAATGATAAAACATATAAGAAAATATTTAAAACAATAAGAACCATTAACATTTGTTAACATCATTAGGGAATTTGTTAAACTTAATAACAAAATACTACCACGACCATACACCGAACAACAACAGAGAATATACGCTTTAATCAAAATTAGAATGAATAAAGATCAACAAGATAATCCAGTTGGTCATTTTTTTTCCTAAATTTAAAGTACGAGGATCTCATGGAAGATGTAGGATGACGGAACCTGTAAAAAAAATAATAAAAGAAATAAAAAGTACAATTAACCTAACTAACAAGACAAGTAGATTTGGGATTATTGAAAAATAAATATTTGAACTAAGATCAAAGCTTAGCGATTAGTGGGAGGGGAGGTAAAACGTTCAACTTTTAGCCTTTAAGTGATAGATTCAAACTCTATCCCAACTTAGTTCTGTTTGGGCAGCTTATTAGTACTGCTAACTTATAAAAATAGTGTGACTCAACGAATATATACACAAGCCTATACTTAATAGACAAGCTACTACTAGGAAAAATCCAGGTCATCTAATTTTTGTGAATAAATGTTCGTTCATTTTTGTGACAACAATAGATATCACAAGTTTCTTAATTTGTGTTGCTGTACGATCTTGACTAGTTTCCGACTCATTATTACTACTTTAAGTTAGCTAATTTGTTTATTCCAAAGTTCTATTTAGTTGTTGCATATATAGTCATTCCACTTTAACTTGATCTTTGTTAAACATCAGGTTTTCATTTATACTGCTGTCTTCTTTATGGGTTCCATCAATGGGATTATCGTTAGAGTTTTGTGAGTCAGTTGCTACCTTATCAAGTTCTTCACAGATTCCGTTCGTATAAGAATAACCTCGATTGTCCATTAATGGCGATTACCGTAGACCGAATTGAACAAATCTCAAAATAAAACAGGTACGTCAAGCGAAACTATAATCTATGGACGATCTTTGAGCGAGGCTTAGGTGGCCTTAAGAATATCCATCTACTTACTAGGGTTAAATGAAGGTTGTACATTAACGTGAGCGATTAGAAATTAGGGTTATGAATTAGAGTTACAGTTCTCGTCACGAACTCACTTCAGCTACAATGCCAAAATGCTGTTTATTTGTATGGATAAATGAATCGCTCGTCGAAATTCAAGGTTTGCTATTTTAAATCTTATTGGCTCGCCCATAAATTATAGTCTCGCCTCTACACTATTACTATTATTTATGTCATCAGGACGTTCAAGCAATGGATTCATGAATGGGAGTCTCTTGTTTCTCAAACTAATTGAACTAGTACCTAAAACTACTTTAAGGTAAAGTGTAAACCAATACTCGACGGTATAATATTTAAAAGGGAAAGAGCGATATGACTGCATCTACATGCACTGTATGATAATATCATAGTTAATTCGAACTACAGAAGGGTAAGGATTTTAATAATTGAGCGCATTGAAAGGAAATCAAAAACGTCTTAAAACTAACACTGCAAAAGCATAACAGCCGAAAAATAAAATATTTGTGTGTGAAATAGAAGTACATGGGATGATGACAGAATACCTATGTACATCTTATATGAAATATTACTGTTTCAAACCAATAACTTTCCCTTGATTGCTTTCTAAAAATCGTACATAATGAAACAAACGGAGAACCACGTATACAAAGCTTTCTTATGGGATTTCACTTCAGAATGTTGTAAAATGTGTAACATAATGTTCCATACCTAATAACGCAGCGCACCAGATAAATGAAGTAGTCTACATAATCAAATTTTACCCTCACTACTGCTGGTACTAATACAAATGGCTAACGGAACCACTTAAAGAGATGCTACTAGGCTAACTAAGCTTATAAGACTCAGCAAAACTAGATAAAAATTAGCGAACCAAGTATACAAACAATCATTCGGTAATGCGAGTATTTGTGTAATGCTACGCGTAACAACGAGAAAATGATAGCCAAGCTACACTTAAAATTGGGTAAAGTCTGATAGAAATTTTCTTCTTGAAGATAACTCTTCTTATTACACAAAAGCAACATTTTAAGAACTATTCCATATAAAAAAACTCATGCCTTTGTTTATACAGTAACTAATCAAAGCATATTATGACTTAACAGGGTAACTTAAAAGTAAATTTATAATAAATTATCATGCATTATTCCATTTTGGGTGAAATACCCGCCATTCTTATATATTAGTTTAGTTACGATTATACATTGTCGTAAAAGTTCACTAAAGAACATTTTAATGCCAATCTAATGCTAATATACCAATTAAAAAACAAAACAAAGATCTAACCATTCTTGTACATATATAGTTGCAAGTCAATCCTTATTCGGGTATCAATTACAAAGAAAGAACACAGAAGCAAAATAACGACAACAAATCCTCATCAAACACAAGCTAGCCTAATGAGTGTATGTGCAAATGTCGGTCAACATACATGACCAATGAAATCAAACATAATATTTCCATTTTAAAAAAACCAATGATTTCAAAGTAGAAAATATTTTATTGAATAAATATTAATTTACAGATTACAAATTATCAGATGTATTGTAAGAGAGCTTTTTGCGTTTGGATTGATGAACGCATTGATTGATAGATACACAATGTTTACACTGATCGCAATGAAATTTCTTTGCAGGTCTACAACGATTACATTTATCACAGTGTACATAGGTTGGTCCATGCTAGATTAGGATATTGAAATGGAAAATATTCATATAAATACCATATTTTTATTTTGAAGTTGATAGGAATTACTCATTAAATATTTTAAAAACATTGGCCACCTATCCGTAAAATAATTAATTCTGCTATAGAGACTAAACGACTGAGAACTAAGGCAAGATTATGGTATACTAATGCACTATCAATATTTTTCAGTGGAAAATGAAGAGAGTATTATTTGGGAATTAGATAAATAATCTATTCACCTGATACTTGGGTACGAGCCAAACTTAAGGTGTAGTAGCTAGTGATACTACTCAAACTGAAGTGGGAGGAGTGGAGTTCATACTTGGAAATTAGTGGATGAAACTTAAACGCTTAGCCATTGAGTCACCGCCCCACTATTTGAAAATACCAAATAACCTTTTACATAGAATCCTGATACATTAACATTACAAATCAGCAAAATTTTATGGTAGTGATACTTTAGTGAGCGAAATTGTGATTACAAGTAATTGTATGAAAGAAGTAAAAGTTATGGACACTGTTCGAAGAACAATATGGAAAAATATGACCAGATATTTCTCCGTGTGAAACCATTTGGGGTCTGTTAACTTTAAAGAAGAAGTGGAAAAAGATGTGTATACTTATTCAGATGCTTAAATATTACCAGGTCATTAAACAGTTATTTATGTTATAGTATTATTGGATAGTGTCCTTGGATAAAACTCACTTTAGTTGTGCAACGATCACATTTAGGACAGTGTAGATTTGTTATGTGCGAATAACGTTGACAAATTTCACAAAACCTAAATGTCAAGAATAAATCATTGTACTTGAAACCATAATATGAGTTTATAACAAGGAAAAATTTAGTGTTAAGGAGTATTGTATAATCGTTTTTTTCTGGTTTGACAACTGATAGTGTTATGTACCGATTAATTCTCAACCATAAACTCATGAAGACACAGGAAACCAAAACTAATGGATTATTCTTTGAATCGCTGAGGATTTTTTTAGTTAAACTTCGAGAATGGACTTGCATTTCTAATCATTTCTCCACTGATACAAATATATTCACATTTAACCCTAATTGGGTGGTCGTTTTTGTTTGTAATGATGAACAGAAATCCTCCGATGATAACCATACAGAAACCAGATATATATATATATATATATATATATATATACAGTCTGAGACTAAATAAACATGGAACGACTAATTGGATTTCGGGAGGAGAGAATCTCGGGAAATAAGACATATTAAGACTGGTTATGAGTATTCTACACTTGTTGGTTATGAGTATTTTAATTGAACTTTCATTTTACATCACGTTTCGTAACGTACATATGATTGTTTTCGTCAAGTTGTACTTGCAATACTTACCTCAAAGGCACCTACAGTAGTATGCTACTGGGAGATGTATCAAAAAACTTCGTTAAGTTACTGAGGATTTGAACAAAAACATATTTCATTTTGAGCAACCAAGTATTGTAGCCATAGGACAGAATATTGTGGTTCAGAGTCGGATACACAGACCTATACTCTGGTAGTCACGCCAGATACTACAACGGGAAATCACTTGGTATGGTGCTCATCAAAATTGCTCGCTCTCCTCATTTTTAAGATAAGCTATTACAAGTAAAATATCATATGATCTCTCGAGATTTCGTCGTTTATCTGGATGTCTTCAGGTTAACCTGTATTGCTTAGATGACGTAACTTGTAGCTGAAGTAATAAGAATATAACTCAATTACAAGATGAAGTTTAATGTTCTCGGTTTGAGTTACACCTTACATGTGTGAGGGCTAATGATACTACAGGGATCTCTAGATGAAAGGTAATGATGAAATTAATACAGTGTGACACAGAAACAGCAATAACTGTTTATGTTTATTCTATTGGTTTATTTTCTACAACTTAATGGTTTGCTCGGTTCTACCTTATATCTATCTGTACCTGTATTTACACTTGGTACGCAAAGTTTGCATATTTTTTCTATAGCGAAGCGGCTTCAACTGAAACATTTACGTACCAAGTCGCGTCCTTACGATTATCCAGTCTGCGCTTTTGACAATCAACAACAACAAAAAATGTCATTCAGTCTATATACACTAAGTAACTAGGACATACCTGAAACATTTCTCTATTGATTTAGGTGGATGGACCAAAGAAGGAAGTAAACTTGTAAACAAGCGAACAATTGAGTCGCGCCTCTGTCCTCTATTTGAATGATCACCAATTTTATTAGTTAAATCCCTGTGGTTTCGATTATCAGTGATATCACAATCCAGTCTTGAGTGGTTTTCATAAGTGATCTTTACGTGTAATAGTATTAGCAACACTGTTGATTACTTTATAATCCAGCAAGTTTAAAAATGGGGCAATCTTTTGCAGCTTTTTCTCGAAGAAAAACGGGAGAACTAGCAGATATGGAATATCATTTTGATTTAAACTCTTGCAATTATTTTTAGTAACTAAAATTGTGTAATTATCGTATATTGCACAGTACTTTGGAAGCTTGAAATATACTGTATTATTGAATTGATCTGCTTCACAATTAATGACAATGGTGCAGAGAATGGAGGATCACAAAATATGGAGCATTTATCATCAGGCTTTATATTATCCTTGATGAAATGATGAAAATTTTCTTCTTCCGTTCGACTGAAGAAAAATCCGTTTACCATATTATATCGTGAGAAACGATGTGGATGATAGAAACTAGACTGTGGAAATCAAAAAATAAATGTGCATTTACCAGCCGAATGTCCATATCTAATAAATATGAGTCTAATAATTGTCCTCTATGTATATGCTGAAGTTGGATGAAGTCATGTAGACGTGGTGAACCAATACAGATGACATAGTCTACTGACAGTTTTTGAATGATGGAGTACAGTCGATTCAAAGTGTCTAAAGAAAAAAAATATTGCTATAGGACTTATGGGTAAGTAAATACAAGACGTACTGCATGAGCCTTAGAATTTTCCAGTGGTTTTAGCAGGTATGATGGCATTGCCAATAAATTATCTGATAGGTTTTTCCTATACTCGTGCATTTCATGCTTTTGTCCACTCAGTGACAATGAAAACAAACAATCACAAGTGTAACAATAGGCTCTATCTGACTGACTTATCCCGAGAATATCTTCCGATGACCAGTTTCTTAAAGTGCTACTCTGGTACAAGTCCTGTTTCTCACATTCACCTTTATCACGAAATGCCGAACAAGCATAATGAAACGAACGGGAGGTCTGATCAACTATTTTTAACATGGGACCATGTGAACATGTAGGCCCGTCAGCTGGCAGTTCGATTATCTGAGACTTTTTTGGAAATGGAGGTTCCTATAATAGAGAGATAAGCATTGTCATTATGACAAAAATAGAACGAAGTTTGTCGGCTTGAAGCAACACATCTGTTTGTTTAATGTTACTCTTTAAAGGATTACACAGAAACAGAATTAATAAAAGTAGTGAAATAAACTGACAATGGGACCAGTCAATTAGTATGACGTGATTGATTGTTATCTAGCGAGTGTATTATTCAGTTATACTAAATATATCAGGACGCCACTCAGTTCCCAGTTATCAAAACCAAAACTAAGCAGCCTAATTTAGGTTTAGCAAAGTACATATCAACATTTGGACGTTTTGTGAAACAATATCACTTCTTATTTTAGCGACTCTGACCCCAATTTAAAGCCAGAGTTCACTTAGATCAGAGATTTACATCGAGATAGCAGCTGAAACGATGTATAACATAAAACTATGATACCATCTGTCTGTATTTGGGAAAAGGTGAGAGTATATGTAAGTATTGGCATTTTACTTTAACTAAGAAGCCTTAATAAACACATGTTTAATAAACTTAGCATTAACTACATTATTTTAGATCATGGTTGAATACAATCTTTTGGGTTAATTGCAATACTAACACTTAACTGTCACCCAAACGTAAATACTACTGAGAACTTCATGTAAAACTTGTTAGCAGCTTATTCACCTCATATAAATCAACCGTTTGAATCATATCGAATAGGTAGAAAACTTGGTTGTCCTGGGTAAAATAAAGACAAACGCCTTAAGTGTACTGCAGTATACCTAGGACGTAAGCGAGTTTGTCTATTAAAGTAATTGTTTTGGTATACAATCCTGCTGAATTTCGAGCGAACTTAACAATTCGACGTGTTAATATTGATACAGAATAGACAACTTGAATTTAATTTTGAGGAGGGTTAGGGTATAACTTCGATATATTTCGCCTAAATAGGGAAATTCAGCGGGGAAATCCGCATTGGCTGCCCCAGATTGCGACCTCCCGAATTTCGAGGGACTTTAACGACAGGGAAATCATAGAAAAACCGCAACAGAAAATCTTGAAGTAAGAATAAGTCCAAAAATTTTTCCCCGGTCTAAGGTTTTACACAAAACGCGCAAACTATTTTGAGGAAATCGCCGAAACGCTCGAGCGCATTCCTGGTCTTCCGCCACATTTCTTGAGACTGAATAATATGAACTTTTATATGACTGTAGTGAAAAGCCGAGACCGTGTAATTAAGCTGATGAAAAACTTTCTGCGTTAATTAAGGCTACAATTTGATTATGGTAACCTATAACCATAGACTTTTTCAAAGGAATTTCCATAGTGTACTCCTAAAAGCTCGCCTTATTTTATTTGCCTCTTGATTTTAGGGGAATCTTCGGACTTTTTCCAAAGTCAAATAATGATTCGTAACCTTTCTTAAAATTTGGTGTTTTCCTAAGACCTGGGAAAATTTTGGGTTTTGTACCATTTCACTGAAATTTGGAGCTTGGGTAGTCAGTGTGGCAAATGAATTACATAACCAGAGGGTAGCACTGACTAATACCCCTTTCCAAAAACAAACTGGTGCAAACGCACATTGCTTTTCATAATGTCCCTTTAAAAGACAAAGGTAACGCAAACACTTAAATGCAGGACGTCTAATCATTTCGTTCAAGAATTTATGAACGGGTCCAACGGGCTTCCGTGTCTAGAAGCACTGAGTAACTAACACCTTCAGGGAACGCCTAAATTTACAGGAGAGGCAGAATTGAAAGAAATATTTGTAAGTTAAAAAATTGTGCTAATGAGTTGTGCTGCAGGACCTCGTTAATGATTGAAGGAAACTAACGACTGAATGCCATAAGACTGAAGTATGTGGTACTCGGTCATTTCTCAGAAAGTTCCATTCTACATGTACCTAAATAAAATATTTACGCGGCAAGACTCTAGATTTTCACTAAGTTTGCCACACAAGCATTACAGCACAGCTATCAGATTAAGGACAAGAAGGTTGTGTAATAACAGTATAGTGTTATTTAACCTTAGATTAGGAATGTTTACCACTCCCATTTATTCTTTTGAACTCTAGTAGGTCAGTATCTACAAGTGTGCTGTTAAAGGATACTTTTGAAGTCACACTATGCATTTCTGCCTACTGGAATTTGCAAAACTTATTTATATTTAAAGGCACGGTCTGTTGGCAATATGGTTTACTTAGTCACAAATGTCCGAAGTTCTCTGAAAAATAAGTTCAATAGTTTGGTGAAACAAACTCATCTTAGACGGCGAAATTGATGATAATCAATACAACATTTATCATTCAGTCAAATACTTTGTTCTTCAAGCAATAGATCCTAAAGTCAGTCGAAACAGATATCTGAAACGAAGAAATTCGAAGACACGTTGGGAGGGTGACCGCTACGCCGTGAAATACATAATATAAGGTGACAAGTTGTTGGGAGAGATGCGTGGTTCGATGTACGCGGATGCTCGGCCGAGCGCTTTTAGCTAAGGCGGGTCCGGAGATAGGCCTGACAAGCTAATTTTGTAAATAGTTTTCAATGTTATTTGTATTTATTTTTTCAACCTTCCACTGTATGTATATTTAACATTAAATGACTGCAACTGTTGTTTTAGTAAATGACCTTGAACACACTTACCATTATGATACTGACATAGCGTGACATACTCTTGCTGGCTAACAAATACACTACTACTCACACATTCCTCGTACTATCTTCGTTTGTGATTGAGTTAACTGAAGTCTAAATCAAATAATATCATTATTTATAGACTGTAATTGAAATATATCACATTCTACGTTGGATTATATCACTGGAGAGTTCGTCAACCCGATCAGAATCACCAAGCGTTTATAATTGTGGATTTACAATACCGGACCCAATCAGAACATGCAACACTTGGTCAATTTAAGTAACGTCCCAAATTTTTATTGTATTTGTAACAATTAATTGGTATTTATTAATATTACTACTGATTTTTAGTAACTGTGTTGATACTTTTCACGTTCATATCTCTCTGGTCCACCACAAGATCAGCGTCAAGGTAGAAGACTTGCAAAACTAGGAATTTCGAGGACTCGTTCTCTGCTTCCAGTTTCAGTCTAATGGCACTATTTTCTGCGGGGTCTTTTAGTTAAACTTCAGAAACTAAAGTGAAGCCGAGGATAGAACTATCCCTTAATTAAGGATAATAGAAAACTAGAAGTGGTGAAAAATGAGTTGTTCGTTAAGAAATACACATTCCGAGCTTGATGGCGTCTGATTATTTCGCCGTCAAGTTTCTGATTCCAGATATTCATTTAACCCTAGTTCTACCGAGTAAAAAGACTATACTTACATATATTTACACTCGATAGCCTATAAGTAATGAGTTCTCTTAAATTAAAAAAGAATGTCCTAGTCCAAGAATGCGATTTAACCCATCCTCCAAAGTCCTATTGTTTCAGCATCGAGCTTTCTGTAGTTTAACCAGGGGAAGTTCAATAAACAGTCAAGTAAGGAGTTCTGATATTTATTACTTTCTTCACTTTTGTTTTAAACATACTATTTTTCCGGAAGGTTTTGCTTGTTTTTTCACAATCATTATTTATTTGAAAATCAATTAAACATAATATCTGTCAAGATTTTATATCACAACAAATTCTTTACTTGGTGGAACTCGAACAGCTATTTTAAAGTCAGGTGGTATCAAAGTTACACTCGAGGCAACCAGCAAAATTTTGATAGATAGTTGGTTCATCTTATACTTCATGTAAAATTGTGTGGATTTTACAAGTTCAAATAGATAGGAAAGAGATTGAAATCGTAGTCAGGAACAACAAGAAGCTACGAAGTCACAAAGTGCTAACCCGCTCACGTGTTCATTTTATATTTACAATAATGTTGTAACAAATTCCTGGATTGAAATAAACTTATGTCCGTCATCCCTAATGGAGGAGCATAATACGCCCACCAACATTCTCCACCCAACCCTGTCCTGGGTAATCCTTTCTAGTTCTTTCCATTTGCTATTCATTCTTTTGATATCTGCTTCCAAATTTCGGTGCATTGTGTTCACTGACTTTCTTTTCCGTTTCCCTTCAGGATCCCAAGTTAGCGCTTGCGGAGCAATGAAGCTTGGTGATTTCCATAATGTACGTCCTATCCGCCTTCATAGCTTTTTTCACAGTTTCCTCTTCAGGTGTAAGCTGATTTTCTCTCTTCCATGGTAGGTTGTTGCCGATGGTATGGTGTCAAAGGACATTGAGTATCTAGCTCAGACAATTATTTATAAATACTTGTACTTTTGATAATGATTGTAGTAGTTCTCCAAGTTTCAGCTCTGTACAATAGGACCATCTTGACGTTTGTATTTAAGATTCTGACTTTGATGTTGGCTGACAATTGTCTTGAGTACTATACGTTCTTCAACTGTAGTAATGTTTCCCTTCACTTGCCAACCCTTGTCGTTAGGTCTGCATCTCATCCTCATTGTTTATCAATAATGGTGTCCAGGCACGTGGAAGTTTTCGTCTCCCCCAGGGCTTCTCCATCAAGTGTGACTGTATTTGTTCTCACTGTTTTATGCTTTAGGATCTTGAATTCTTCCCTGTGTATGTTGAGGCCTACTAATGTAGATGCTGCCGCCACACTGTTTGTCTGGACCTGCATTTGTTGATGTGTACCGGATCAAAGGGCATGGTCACCTGTGAAGTCTAAATCGTTTGGCTGCATGCAAGCCGTCCATTGTATTCCGTGCTTTTCTTCATGTGTGGAAGTCTTCATAATTCATTCAAGCACCGGAAGAAAGAGGAAATGAGAGAGTAAGCAGCCATGTCTGACTCCGGTCCCCACTTGGGATGCATTTGTCAGCTGTCCTTCGTCCACTACTTTTCAGTATGGTCCGTCGGATGAATTCCAGATGTTGACGATTTTCTTAGGTACCCCGTGGTGTCGAAAAAGTTTCCATAACGTCCTCATATCCACACTGTAAAAATGCTTTCTTGTGGTCAAGGAAGTTAATGCGTGGTGACGAGTTCCATTCAATCGATTGTTCAATGATGATCCATAGTGTCACAATTTGGTCTCTGTAGTTTTCTGTAGTTTTCACATATGCTAAGATCTGTTTTTTGCATCCTGATGAGATATCCCTCCTTCTAGTCTGTCGGCACTTGTTCTCCCAAATCTTCTTGAATAGAACTTGGAGCATGTTAGCAATTACTTCTATGCCTGACCTTAGTGCTTCGGTTGTGTTCTGTCGCTTTCCAACTCTTTATTTGTCCGATGGCCATCCTGATTTCTTCAATCGTTGAAGGAGTGACATCTGTAGAAATGTCTGGGTGTGCTGCTCCGATAACCAGTGGGTTCCGTGGTGCGGATCTGTTCAGGAGTTCTTTGCTGTTCGTGAGTCCCGAAGAATTTTTGTCATTCAATAGTCGCCTAGGTTTACCATATTTTCGCGCTAATTACATTGTTGCATCAAACAAATCTCCCATGTTACCTCCCATTGGGTCATCTTCCTCTGTAACTGTTAGACTTGTGCATTTCGTCCCGTCCGCTCTAACGTTCGTTTTCACCCTCATATTTTCTTTGATGTATTCGGTCTATCCCATGACTCACAATGCTCTCGTTCCGCAGTTGTTACTTGCTATTTTGTTTTTCATTTTCTAAACCCTGCCCGGGTTTCCGATAGGGATCCGTTCCTTATGATGACACCCCTTACGGTAAGATGGTGTTAGTGTTTCTTTGATCACCAAGTTTTATATCGGTCACAACTAGGTTGCGATCTGAAGCTGTGTCAGCTCCTCTATTGGTTCTCTCGTTTTCCATTGACCCGAATGTTTTAGAGATGCTAGTATGATCGATCTAATTTTCCTTAGTGTGATTCAGTGATGCCCATATAGCTATATGTTTGCATTGATAATGGTTGCGGGTTTTGTGTTGTAACGTTGTCGGCTGAACCGTCCACAACCAGTATCAGGGTCCTCTACAATGATGTCATCAACTGTGGAGAATCTGAATCTATCTAAAGAATTCAATTTCAAGCAGGATATGAAAAGCGCAGGGATCAATAAGTCTAGGTTTTACTACCTAAAGCTTTATTCTCCATAGTCACAAGATACTTGCGGTAAGATGAACCATTTCTATCAGCCAAGTTAAGTATGCTCTGAAGCTAATATACTCCACGGTGCTTATGGTAACAGCACTTTAATTTTTTCAACCCTCCCTGAAACGTTTTTAAAGTATTTTGACCTCTATAAATATTATAAATGACATGGTCGTCAACTGGAGTAATGCAATCAATGCAATACGTCAGATCACGGTGTAAGTTCGAAAGCACAGTGTCAATGTTGCCTGTGGTGAGGTAGGGTTCCCACGTTAGGAATTGAATAGGAGTTTAGGCGGGCTTTCATGTTTTCTGATTAAGCTGCCTGCTCTGGTACACTGTTGTAGCGTTAGAGTTCGATTGTATAGTGTTTGAAGAATGAAAAATACTCAGTAAGATGATAACCCATAAAAAGTTCACTCTGCACTAATACTGCACAAAATCGTATTCCGCCATAAAATTTTACCCCATTAATGACTTGTCCCCTTGCCTATTCATTTACTTTCTGATTCCTATTGTAGCACATATATAACAGTTTATTCTTATCCTGTCACATAGACACACTCACTGAATTATTTGAATATTTCACGCTTATTTCTTTCATTTTTTTCCTTTTCCTTCTAAAGTCAACTCAATAGTTTTACGAGTTCTACGGAACTTGTTTAG